AGGTAACGGATTTCCCGCTCGTTTGAATAGACTTGACAACGGCGAGAGTACGAAGGGTGAGCCTCATGACAGTTAAGGCAAGAGGGAGATCGATTGCAAGACGTATGAGAATGGTCATCGGCACCACAGACTGGGCATTCGGTGATAGATCTGCAATATTTCGCTGGATGGCCAAATCGCCAGCAATTTCTACACTCTTGCGGTGTAGGGATCACCTTTCGGACTTGTAACCGATGTCCTGCTTATAAACTGAGGATGGGAGTTCTCGGCTGTCAAAAGTTAAACGAGCCACATTGCTAGGGTATCGTCTCCGCCCGCGGGCAGGAAGAACGTAAGTGTCTACCTTGAGGATTGGGAGATCTTGGAGTTCCAGCTGTTCAAGAATGTCAGTGCCACATGTCTGGAAATTTTGTTGAACTATGGTATGGGGCAGAATGAGGGTACCACTACAAGAATTGAGGGAATGATGTTTTTCAAGAGTGACAGGAACAGTATCGATATGGGAAAGACGAGAGAGCTCATGAGCCTGGGTAGCACTCTGTACGGTGATGATGCGCGTACCGCTCTTAAGAACATGAAAAGAAATATCTTTACCAACATGGCGTAGGAGTGCCTTGCCAATACTGTGGTCAGAAAGATAGGCAGTAGAGGAAGTCGGTCGTAAAGTGAGAATTTAGTCCATTGTTCAGTCTGAAACTGAGCGTGGAAAGGTAGTGAAGGACGTGCCGATCGTTTCTGAGAAGAACGAGAAGGTGGAGAAGTATCATCAGCAGGTAATTGTCATTGGCGTTTAGGCGTGGGACCAGAGTTGGTCCGACGTGGAACGGGTCGGCGATTTGAAAATTGCCGCACCGTAGAGGGAGAGGCCGGAAGCATAGTCAGAGGAGAGCGAAGGTCCGATAAATCGAAGGAGTCAGTCGAGGCCTCAGTACCTGAAGCGGGTGAGGAAACAGCACCGGCAAGAGGTACAGAGGCATGAGGAGTGTCTGAAGAGTGGTCCAAAGACAAGGCGGGGTCAGAACGGGGTGCGGTATCAAGAAGGGGCCCGGGGGTACGAGGTTCATGGACTAGGGCTGCCATGGTTAGGTTACTTCTTTCTTTTTGTTTTTAAGAAAAAAAAAGAAAGAAAAGAAAATAAAAATAAAAAAAAAGAATAAAAAAAAGGGGGGCCGGGGAGGGATAGTTCCTAGGAGGAATGAAAGGGCCAGAAATCTCCCTCCACACCCAAGAGGACCTCAGCACCGCAAGTAGCGCAGATGCAGCATGGAACCCGTGCCATACCCTACCCATCATGCTAGTAAACTAACAATCCGGGATAGCAACCTCACATCTGCCGAGCTACCTCGGTGGACAAAAGAGAGGGCGACCGGATATCCGCCACAAAGCATACCTCCTTCGGCCACCACCCCCGGAATCCGAAAGGTGGCTTCCAGAGATACACCCGTCGCCTGAAAGACACCTAAAGCTACTCCGAGATACCGGAGAGGGATCGGGACATCCCCAGGCGATCCAGATTCCACGGCAAACTACGCCACCGCCAAGAACCTCAACGGAATGGGATGGACCCCGGTATCCTTTCCCCTACCTAGGAACTAGCGCGCCTGTGGGAGAAATCCCAAAGGCCGAAAAGAGGAAGGGCAAAAGGGAGGGGTGGGGAGGAGGAGGAGGAAAGGAAAAAGGGGAGGATGGGGAGGATGGGATAGGGGAGGGGAGATTGGGGGGTAATTAGGTTCGGTCTGAGGAAGAAGACCGACAGGTCTAATTCCTCAGACCAAGAGCCTCTTCACCACGCCAAGGAGCCCCCCTTGAAGAGGCGCATGGGTCAGAGCTTAAATAAGTTTTACTGACAAAGAAATTATCACTAAAATACCGCAAGACTGTTTTTAAGATCTGTGGATTACAATTACAGTACTGTATTATATTATTATTATTATTATTATTATCATTAGCCAGACTTGATTTTTTGGATAATAATAATCTTTATTTCTACAAGTACACATACAAGGTAAACAGGCCTAGCTGACATACATGATATACTACTACAGTACTACTATACAGAAACCCCTTATTATGCAGAGCATTTTAGGCAAATTAAGTCAATTTTGTTCCCAGAATGCAACACACACTAGTCAACTAACACCCAGATACTTATTTTCCTGCTAGGTGAACAGGGACAGCAGGTGTCTTAAGGAAACACGTCCTCATGTTTCCACCCATACCGGGAATTGAACCACAAACCTCATTGTGTGAGATGAGTGCACTAGTGATGAAGCTACAAGAAGTATGTACAGTGAAGGAGTGATGGGGATGTTGCAGTTTGGAGGGTCAATGGAATTGTGATATCTGCTCATTTCTGCCAAGAAAGCCATTAAATGAATGATGCTAAATTTATTTCCTTTTTCCTGTCACTCTACTTAAGTGGAAAATGGCCAGTGTTGAAAAACATATACAGATCCACATTCCTTTATCCGAAATTCAAAGTTTCAAAAACCAAAGTATTTTTGTGGAGTGTGGCGCGTCAGTCACTGACAGCCAGAGTGGTAGGCGTCAGTTGTGTCTCAGTGCTTGTAGTGTTCACGCGTGCATCTACTGTTCACTGAAATTTCGTTTTTGCTTTTTATTTTGTGATTGTCTTTAATTTCACTGTGAAAATGTCAAAAAGGGCTGCAGATACCCCTATGGGCAACAGTGAGAAAAAGAAAAGGAAGCATCTGACATTATCAATAACACAGAAAGTAGAGTTACTGCAGAAGCTTGATCGTGGTGTATCAGTGCAGCGTCTTACTGAAGAATATGGTGTTTGAACTACCACTGTTTATGATTTAAAGAAATGGTGTTAAATACAAATAAGCATGAGAATAGTAGTGATGGTGATGATGATATTGTGAACACAGGTGAAAAAGTCCCCAAAGACGATATGGTGAAAAAGTGTGTTAAGTCTTTAAAAATGCCGTCTGTCATAGTGCTGCTGCATCACTTGAGAATCATGTTCCTGGTCTATAATTATCCCATTATTTCATTTATCAATATATTACTCTATAAATAAACCATAGTAGTATTTATAGTTTTTATTTATCACACTTAGTGTGAGCATTCATACATTTTTGCTGCAATGCTAATGTTCAATTATGGGGTGCTGCCCCAGACCCCATCTTCATTCTGAAATTCAAAAAATTCTGAAATTCAAAACACTACTGGCCCCAAGGGTTTTGGATAAAGGAATGTGTACCTGTACTATAATTATTACAATCATTTTATTTTAATTACTGCTGTAGCATTTAAAATAATTGCTGTATTTACAGTATATAAAGAAGTGGTTTTTAAAAGGCTGTTGTCAGCTGAAATTTTTAAATTACAAGCTACTACAACTGCCATTTTAGCACAAAGACATGGCATTTCATAGAAAAAACCTAGGTTTTGTCTTCAGCAGTATATTTACAAATTTGTTTTATCTACAGTGGACCCCCGGTTAACGATATTTTTTCATTCCAGAAGTATGTTCAGGTGCCAGTACTGACCGAATTTGTTCCCATAAGGAATATTGTGAAGTAGATTAATCCATTTCAGACCCCCAAACATACACGTACAAACGCACTTACATAAATACACTTACATAATTGGTCACATTGGGAGGTGATCGTTAAGCGGGGGTCCACTGTATTTGTAGTTACTACAGTAGATCTATGCTCATGATGTCCCATCTTAACTGTTTGTTTTTTTTTTGTCATATAATTTCTTGACAATTCCAGTGACAGTTAACTCATGAAATCGTAATGACACAATTGCGAACAAACCACGGTACAGGTGGGGATTGAACTAGTGGCAAGAGAGTCATAAAACTCCAAGCCAGCGAGTGGAGTTTTATGATTCACTTGCTGCGAGTTCAATTTCCACTAATACCATGGTTTCCTTGGATAGTTCCATATATACTACCTCCTCATGAAGCCAGTTTCAGAAGTCTATCACTTTATTTGGGAAAAAATATTATCTAGTGTATGTACCATAATTACAGTACCTGTTCATAGCAACAGGAGCAGAGCTAGGCTCATGGTGCTCCATCTTCAGTGTTTATCGCTTTTTTTTTTTTTTTAAATTTCCAGCCACTTGTTCTACAACTCTATACAGAAAAGCTGGCTGGAATCCTATTGACACTTTTTTGTTAAGATTTCACAACTATGGCTTCTCATTCTCCCTACTGAAGGTGAGTGGTTTGTAGCTTTTATAGTTTTTTTTAGGTGTATGTGTGTCTGCAGAAATAAATACTACAGTGAATAATAATGTGTACTTTTACAGGTTATTAATAAATACTTCATGAAGACATGGTTCAGATTAAATGAATCCTTCTTTTTATCTGATTAGGATTAGAGCTTCAAATTCAAAGTGATACTTAAAACTAGCCTTGTTTTTTTACCTTTAGTGTACACTCCTACACTATTATAAATGTGAGTCACACAAAAACATTTCAAGCATACTTCTAGCTATCATCTTGACCTCTACTGTGTTAACAGACATGAAACCAATGTAACCCAGGACTTGTACCTAAAGATAATGATGAACTGTTATGAATTCACGAGTGAATGTCCTTTTGCTCACAGATACACTACTCCATCTAGAGCCTGAACTAGAAACTTTTCAATTCACAACCACTCATCCATCCTTTCAACTAGAGATTTAACAATGTAAGAAAAATAAATTTAACAATGTATAAAAAAGTCACATTAGTCAAAAAAGCCCATCCTACACTCTTCCTACAGAGCACTGTTGAAACAAATCATTTTTTCCCAAAATTAATTATTACATTAAAAAGTCAGCACTAAACCCGTGTGGGCCATATAGCACTGCATTGGAAAGAGAATACATTTGGTAGGGGGTTAGAGGAGTGGAGGGTTAGTTTCAGTGTGAAATGAGAGTCATAGTTGGTGCAATAGGTAACCCCAAAATTACCAGTAATAACCAACAGCACTAAGAAAGCCATCCTAAATGTGAATGTAATCACTTGCCTGAACCATAAGGCACATACATGTGGTACCAGGCGTGTCAGCCAGTTGCACCTCTTTTCCTTAATACTCATAATGCTGCAATATAAAACATACAGGTTTGGGGTTAAAACTACACTATTTAGAATACGTACATGTTAGCTTTAGATACATAATTTTTCTGGGTAATTTTTCTTTTATTTAATTATTTGGATGCTATGATTCAGATTTTGGATAAGGTTCCTAAAATATATTTTTATAATACTGTATATGTATGATAATTTTTACTTGATAATACTGTAATTTGATTTGGCAACAAGTAAAAGTGTCAAAATTCACAAAACAGGAAAAAAAAATTTTTTTACGTTCAGTACAACTCAAATGTTGCAGATGTACTATGTAATAATTAATTTTTAAAGACAGGTAATTAAAATCTTTCAATGCCTACTTTCTTTGTAAATTTACTACTTAGCTTTGTATTCAAAAAATTTAATTTCCACTGCCAACATTATACTCTATTAGTACTCCTAAACTCTTCCCAGTGACTCTGATACGAAACAATATATATACATAAATGGTATAGAGTCGAACTCCAAAATTCATTAAATCTGATCATTCTGCAATCATGTTGATGGATAACCCATGAATAAGTTCTATCATTTGCAGGAGAGAGGGAAGGATGAGGTTCATGATGTTCATTTTTTGAAGGTCTAATGCACAATCCCTCAATAAACACCACCCATAGGATTTTCTTCAAAATGTGCTCAAATCTCCTTTATAAGTATTAACCCGTTTAGAGATATTTAAAGAGATGTGATCTTGAAACACAAAATGAGCCCAAATTTTGAACAAAGTTTACAGTATTATGTTGACAATTTTGCATTACGGGTAGGGACACTGCAGCTTGGAGGACCATTTGGATTATGATATCTGCTCACTTCTGGCAAGACAGCTAATGAATAAATGATAAAAAAAATATTTTTTTAAGAGGAAGGGGGTTACCCTATCATGGTGGGAAACAGCCAGTATTTAAAAATAAAGCATTAATCATGAATTCAAATATTAATGGGACCTCTATAAAGGAACTTAATATTCCATGAATTTAGGGGTTCGACGATATGTGCACATGTCAGGTGTTATAGCCAGAGTTAGTCAAATAAGTCAAAGATTCTAAAAATAGTTATAGTAATTTCCGAGAAAAAATTGTAACTTCATACATTTTTTGAGATGTATATATTTTTTTTTATTTTTCACCAAAATTAACTTAAAAACCAAACCTAACTTGGTTGGCAAATAATCATTTCTTCATAAGCCAAGAACACAAGATCTGTCATGTTTCATATATGTAAACAGTATACACATTTATAAATGACTATATGTATATACATACATCATGCTTTTTTTTTTTTTTTTATTATCACACTGGCCGATTCCCACCAAGGCAGGGTGGCCCGAAAAAGAAAAACTTTCACCATCATTCACTCCATCACTGTCTTGCCAGAAGGGTGCTTTACACTACAGTTTTTAAACTGCAACATTAACACCCCTCCTTCAGAGTGCAGGCACTGTACTTCCCATCTCCAGGACTCAAGTCCGGCCTGCCGGTTTCCCTGAATCCCTTCATAAATGTTACTTTGCTCACACTCCAACAGCACGTCAAGTATTAAAAACCATTTGTCTCCATTCACTCCTATCAAACACGCTCACGCATGCCTGCTGGAAGTCCAAGCCCCTCGCACACAAAACCTCCTTTACCCCCTCCCTCCAACCCTTCCTAGGCCGACCCCTACCCCGCCTTCCTTCCACAGCAGACTGATACACTCTTGAAGTTATTCTGTTTCGCTCCATTCTCTCTACATGTCCGAACCACCTCAACAACCCTTCCTCAGCCCTCTGGACAACAGTTTTGGTAATCCCGCACCTCCTCCTAACTTCCAAACTACGAATTCTCTGCATTATATTCACACCACACATTGCCCTCAGACATGACATCTCCACTGCCTCCAGCCTTCTCCTCGCTGCAACATTCATCACCCATGCTTCACACCCATATAAGAGCGTTGGTAAAACTATACTCTCATACATTCCCCTCTTTGCCTCCAAGGACAAAGTTCTCTGTCTCCACAGACTCCTAAGTGCACCACTCACTCTTTTTCCTCATCAATTCAATGATTCACCTCATCTTTCATAGACCCATCCGCTGACACGTCCACTCCCAAATATCTGAATACGTTCACCTCCTCCATACTCTCTCCCTCCAATCTGATATTCAATCTTTCATCACCTAATCTTTTTGTTATCCTCATAACCTTACTCTTTCCTGTATTCACCTTTAATTTTCTTCTTTTGCACACCCTACCAAATTCATCCACAATCTCTGCAGCTTCTCTTCAGAATCTCCCAAGAGCACAGTGCATCAGCAAAGAGCAGCTGTGACAACTCCCACCCTGTGTGTGATTCTTTATCTTTTAACTCCACGCCTCTTGCCAAGACCCTCGCATTTACTTCTCTTACAACCCCATCTATAAATATATTAAACAACCACGGTGACATCACACATCCTTGTCTAAGGCCTACTTTTACGGGGAAAAAAATTTCCCTCTTTTCTACATACTCTAACTTGAGCCTCACTATCCTCGTAAAAACTCTTCACTGCTTTCAGTAACCTACCTCCTACACCATACACTTGCAACATCTGCCACATTGCCCCCCTATCCACCCTGTCATACGCCTTTTCCAAATCCATAAATGCCACAAAGACCTCTTTAGCCTTATCTAAATACTGTTCACTTATATGTTTCACTGTAAACACCTGGTCCACACACCCCCTACCTTTCCTAAAGCCTCCTTGTTCATCTGCTATCCTATTCTCCGTCTTACTCTTAATTCTTTCAATTATAACTCTACCATACACTTTACCAGGTACACTCAACAGACTTATCCCCTATAATTTTTGCACTCTCTTTTATCCCCTTTGCCTTTATACAAAGGAACTATGCATGCTCTCTGCCAATCCCTAGGTACCTTACCCTCTTCCATACATTTATTAAATAATTGCACCAACCACTCCAAAACTATATCCCCACCTGCTTTTAACATTTCTATCTTTATCCCATCAATCCTGGCTGCCTTACCCCCTTTCATTTTACCTACTGCCTCACGAACTTCCCCCACACTCACAACTGGCTCTTCCTCACTCCTACAAGATGTTATTCCTCCTTGCCCTATACACGAAATCACAGCTTCCCTATCTTCATCAACATTTAACAATTCCTCAAAATATTCCCTCCATCTTCCCAATACTCTAACTCTCCATTTAATAACTCTCCTCTCCTATTTTTAACTGACAAATCCATTTGTTCTCTAGGCTTCCTTAACTTGTTAATCTCACTCCAAAACTTTTTCTTATTTTCAACAAAATTTGTTGATAACAGCTCACCCACTCTCTCATTTGCTCTCTTTTTACATTGCTTCACCACTCTCTTAACCTCTCTCTTTTTCTCCATATACTCTTCCCTCCTTGCATCACTTCTACTTTGTAAAAACTTCTCATATGCTAACTTTTTCTCCCTTACTACTCTCTTTACATCATCATTCCACCAATCGCTCCTCTTCCCTCCTGCACCCACTTTCCTGTAACCACAAACTTCTGCTGAACACTCTAACACTACATTTTTAAAAACCTATCCCATTCCTCTTCGACCCCATTGCCTATGCTCTCATTAGCCCATCTATCCTCCAATAGCTGTTTATATCTTACCCTAACTGCCTCCTCTTTTAGTTTATAAACCTTCACCTCTCTCTTCCCTGATGCTTCTATTCTCCTTGTATCCCATCTACCTTTTACTCTCAGTGTAGCTACAACTAGAAAGTGATCTGATATATCTGTGGCCCCTCGATAAACATGTACATCCTGAAGTCTACTCAACAGTCTTTTATCTACCAATACATAATCCAACAAACTACTGTCATTTCGCCCTACATCATATCGTGTATACTTATTTATCCTCTTTTTCTTAAAATATGTATTACCTATAACTAAACCCCTTTCTATACAAAGTTCAATCAAAGGGCTCCCATTATCATTTACACCTGGCACCCCAAACTTACCTACCACACCCTCTCTAAAAGTTTCTCCTACTTTAGCATTCAGGTCCCCTACCACAATTACTCTCTCACTTGGTTCAAAGGCTCCTATACATTCACTTAACATCTCCCAAAATCTCTCTCTCTCCTCTGCATTCCTCTCTTCTCCAGGTGCATACACGCTTATTATGACCCACTTCTCGCATCCAACCTTTACTTTAATCCACATAATTCTCGAATTTACACATTCATATTCTCTTTTCTCCTTCCATAACTGATCATTTAACATTACTGCTACCCCTTCCTTTGCTCTAACTCTCTCAGATACTCCAGATTTAATCCCATTTATTTCCCCCCACTGAAACTCTCCTACCCCCTTCAGCTTTGTTTCGCTTAGAGCCAGGACATCCAACTTCTTTTCATTCATAACATCAGCAATCATCTGTTTCTTGTCATCCGCACTACATCCACGCACATTTAAACAACCCAGTTTTATAAAGTTTTTCTTCTTCTCTTTTTTAGTAAATGTATACAGGAGAAGGGGTTACTAGCCCATTGCTCCCGGCATTTTAGTCGCCTCATACGACACGCATGGCTTACGGAGGAAAGATTCTTTTCCACTTCCCCATGGACAATAGAAGAAATAAAAAAGAACAAGAGCTATTTAGAATAAGGAGAAAAACCTAGATGTATGTATATATATATATGCATGTGCGTGTCTGTGAAGTGTGACCAAAGTGTAAGTAGGAGTAGCAAGATATCCCTGTTATCTAGCGTGTTTATGAGACAGAAAAAGAAAACCAGCAATCCTACCATCATGCAAAACAGTTACAGGTTTTTGTTTCACAGTCATCTGGCAGGACGGTAGTACTTCCCTGGGTGGTTGCTGTCTACCAACCCTTAATAAACTGCTAATGACATGTTTATGCCAACCAGGAAACTGCTGGGCTGCTGGAGTGTGAGTATGGTAATGTTTTACAAAGGGATTCAGGAAAGCTGGTTACCTGGACTTGAGTCCTAGAGGTGGGAAGTACAATGCTTGCACTCTAAAGGGGTTTGGGATATTTGGGATATCTGAACTGTCATATCTTTGCGCCTCTGCAAAGACAGTGATTATGTGTGAATGATGGTGAAAGTGTTTCTTTCTTTTTTGAGTCACTCTGCCTCGGTAGGAGACAGCCAACATGTTGAAAAAATAGAAATAAAAATATAAATATATCTGAAATATGATATAAAGCCATAGACATGGGTATAATACATATGATTCATAGAAAACAAACAGCAATTTCATCATAAGACAAGCACTCACTGCCACAAATCAATCACCAACATCAACTTCAAACCTTGATAGCTCTGTAAGTGCTAATCAGATTTCAATCATTTCTGTCTATTACACCTAAAATTAGGGAGAATTTTTTGGTATAATAAAGTACCAGTAATTTTTTTTTCAAAATCACAAGCACTAAGAGCATGTTTATATTAGACCCTTCAGCACTTTAAGGCTTAAGAGAACTAATCAACTTGGTTCAGTTAGTAAGAATCATTTTCCAAACAAGAAGTTTCTCATATTTTCTTGTATAAAACTTGTAAAAATCAGTCTTAATATCACAAAATTAACAAATTTAATTTTACAAAATAACTAGTCAGACAAGCATTATATATGTTTGGGAGGCAATTTCTAATTACGCACTGTATCTACGCACCTCCGGCAAAAGTGATAGTGTAAATGTTGGTGAAAGTGTTTCTTTTTTGGGCAGCCAGTGTGTTAAAAAAAAAATTAAAATTTAAGATTAAGTTGCTAAGTAGATTTTTGGTGAAAATGAAATATTTGCACACCTTGTTAATTCATGCAATGAACATATCAATCTTCAGGTTTAAACTAGACAAAATATAACCTTGTTTGACAACTCTGACTAAAATGCACGACATGCTGTAAATGTGTACAATAAAATGTAAACAAGTTACGAATCAAAAAGAAAATAAAAGATTTGTAGTTATTCGGAAATCTCACACTTTTGAACATGGAAACAGAAACAAAACTGAACATTTTGATGCCTACACTTGGATCCTCCTCAGCACAGAAAATGTGCTACACTGCATTGCATTACAGATCCCAGAGTGAGGATCAAAATACAGATATTTTCAATTTTGTGTCGTATCTATTTTTCAAAACTGGTATTTCTGAGTGATTTGTAAGTGACCATACATTTTTATCTCCTAATAAACAGTTATATATACAATACTATACTGCACATGGTAAGTATTCAACTGCTCTCCTTATTAATTTTGTTTTTGTGGTGACTCATTCTCTTCATCATGCTTTACCACCATGATTAACACACACATGCACATACACACAGTATTTATGTACACAGTATGTGTATACACATATACTGATTTATATGTATTGTATTGTATATACAAATTATTTCATTGATTTGTTTTTGCATGTGCAAAAATGGCAGTACAGTGCAAATAAGCTTTCTGAAATGTTAACATGCTAGAAATATATATGTATAGATTTTCATTAACTGCATACAAATTTGCTCATAAGAAAAACGCTTTTTCCTTTCTGTAGTATATGATAATTTATACAAAAGCTACAGGCACAGGTCACCGATAAGACTTGCTGGTTGATCTGCTAATCTTATATAAGTAAACATTAAAGAATTATGCAGCTATATTACTCTCGTATTATCTTGATAATGAAACCCCTAACACTTCAGCATGAACTGCTTCATGAAAACATTTCTATGTGATAAGTCTACTGAGTATACTTTCTGCCCTCATAATAAGACTCCAAGATCTAGAAACTAAATAGAATTAAATTACTGTCAGCATTTTAAAAGCTATTATGATGTAATATATAAAATGTACTGTATACATAAAGGACACTAACAAATAGCTTGCAGAAAAATTCACAGAGTGCATAAATTTACTAACATTTAAAATGGTACCATAAAACTACAATCAGATTATGAACTTTTTTCAGTGCCACAGTATTTTAAAATCTTGTGTCATTCTTAATCAAACGGAACTTCTTTCTTCCCCCCCCCCACTGCTAATGATTTCGTATTCCAATCTTCTTAATTTTTCAGTTATCCTCTTCATCTTATTTCAAGTTTTCTATGCAAAAATATTGTACGTACTTTAAAATTTTTATGGTGACACTAAGCTGTTTACTACTTTTCTTTCTGTATCTTATACACCATAAGGAACAGATTTGGCTCTTATTTTTTAAATATATAAGTTAGGCCACCTTTTGAGTGGTGTTGCCTAATATGCACATCTTTTGTCTAAAACATCAACAATTTTGACAAACGATATTTTATACAACATCTTCAAATAGACAAATGTCTACAGTAATTACCTTACATACTAGTTAAACACTATGAACATAAAAGCAGAAATTCTCATATACCACTTAGAAAAAGGTGCTTTTCTTCAGTATAAGTTCATCCTCTAAAAAAAGTGCTACAACAACCAGATTCCCAACAGTGCTGAAAGTTTAAGTGAGTCAGTCATAAAGGTGAAAATAAGTTATATAAATAATTGCTAGTAGCTGTACCATATCAAAAACAGTTTAAAAAAAATTACAATTGTACTTAAGTTCATTTTGTTATCAAACTGATTTTGACAATCCCAAGCTAGTACAGATAATTATTCTAGAATTTCTAATTCAAATGATTACACTCTCCTTTCCGAATTTCTAATTTTAAATCAAAATGACTAAACATGCATCAAATACTACAGAACAATCTTTTGTGAAAAATAAAATACACTGCCAGTAATGCTTTGATGAACTTCTAGAAACAACCATCTCTAAACACCTCAATTTCACCAGTATGTATTTGAATTTCCTTACCACACTTTAGCTAAATTTGCCATTGATTTGGGTCAGCAATAGCCCTACATGCTCTTCCATACCAGAGGAAGGGTAGCCTAGTACAGTGTATCATAGAAGATTGGTTAAGGTGAATCAACTTGTTCAGTGTGCAAGGCAGAAAAATGTAAGCAAGCAAAGATGATCCCTACTCTTCCATTGCTGAATTGGGTTAGGGTGACAATCAACCAGGCAACTGAGTTCATTGCTAATCCTATGTTTTGTCTGATGTGACTAGATTTAAACTAGTCATGGTCTGTTATGGCACAAACCAAGATATATATACATATATAAGGAAATAAGTGGCCAAAACCAATGTTCTGCAGGCCACTAGACTAGACCAGGGGTATAATTTGGTTCTAGGTGTTCTTATTTGATTATGTAGGGTAACTTTGTGTGAATGTGTGCAAATGCAATGATCAGGATCTTTTTAGCTAAGAGAGAGATGAGCTTAAGCCAGTCCCTGACTTAGAATGTACTGTAGGGCATTCTACTTGCATCCTCATGATGAATATTTCTAGTTTCAATATTTGGCTCTCAAAAATTGCCCAGATCACAGGTTGTCAGCTTCCTGTTTCCATACTTTGGTTCTTACGGTACAGCTGCCTCCTATACTGAACTAGTGGAAGGATTCCTGGAGCAGTTGATGGAGCCTGACAATGTTTCTTTAAGTATGAAAAACTACTTTCTGTGGCAGGTTCCACAAACCATGGTGCCTACTGCTTCCCAATGTCAGCAGTTCCTCCTGAAGGTGCAGACAACAAGAAGTGTACTTGCACACAAAAACAGGAAACAGAAGACTAACCAAGCTAAAAGTGGATACATAGTTCATTACTTGTTATGTAATTAGAGGTTTACTGACAGGCTGTTATTCCCTAAAGTGGTTCACGAAACCTAAACACAAAAAATAATTGTAGTAGGAATCACTGTGCTTTCTTAACACACCACCATGTAGGTCACATATATGGAACTCCCATACTGTACAGGTATGTGATATTACATATTTACACAGCTAAGAATGGTGAATTTTATATAACATGCACAAATAAATTTGGAGTTGCTGCACTTAAGGTAATCAGCTACTTATAAGAAATCTGAATACTGTATAACATTACTCAAAGCAGCTGTGGATCTGTATACAGAGTAACAGAAAATGCCTAGAGAAAAGTTGCCACATTCATGTAAGAAAAACCTAAAGCAAAAATACTGTATCCCTAAAAAGATACTAAATGCTGTAGCACATAAATACAATAAAACATTACAGTATGAAAAGCAAAAACAGAGCAATGAAGCCTCAGTAAGTAATACAGATGAACATACAAAACAGTGTCAAGAACAAAAGCAGAAAAATGACAGCAATTATCATATTTAAAATAAGAAAATTAATTAAAGGCATATGTGATGATGACTACTAGATAATTAGAACATGTTTCTAAATTGTAAAACATTCTGAGTGAAATTCTAACTTATGTTTGCCAGGGGAAATATTTTAATACTGTATACTAATGAAAGTATTTTGAAAATAGTCTTGTTAGGTGTTAGAAATAATTTAGCAAAGAATTAGTTACCAAAATACTGCAGCTGGCATTTTATTAGGTATGTTACAGCAGAATCTTAGTACATAAATTATTTTATTTAAGCAATTTTTATATTGGAAAACAATTCTATTTTAATGCCATATGGTATTTTACTGTTTTTATAAGCTCTCATACACTTATATTATTCAGTTTTAAGGTTAAATGTGTCTATGGAGTTGGACCTAAACTTAATCCCTCATATGAGTATATGTACAATAAAGACATAAGAATAACCCACATTCAAATATATGAAAATAATACAAATATATATTTTTTCTGTTCAGACCGTCATCAAACTAAAAAGCATTTGCATTATTTCCATACCATATGGTTCACTTAATACAATGAAGACCATACACATAACTTATATATACTGTACTGTTTTACAAAATCAGCATACGTCCTTAACAGTGAAGAAAACAGTACCAAGAAAGTCGCCCACATATTCCCTGCAACCATCACCACTACTACAAACAAACCACCACCTCCACAAGAAGCTCCGACACCATTAGAGATCCCAGAAATGTTGGGGAAATTCATACTTACGCATCATTATTATTGAACTCTGTGTTGGCATTTTCAGTGGTAGGACATTTTGGGGCAGCAGCAGGGCTATTTGAGGAAGGGATGATAGAAGTAAGAAATAAATGAAAAATAAAAATGGCAAAAGAAAAATATATCCAGGAAGTACTGTATGAAATAAAAATTGAAAATGAAAGTAAAAATTAAAAAGTAAATAGAAAGAAATTAAAATTCTAAGAAATACTAAAATTAGAACTAACAATTATGTTAAAACTGAAGGTAAAGAAAGGATAGAATGAATGCAAGTTCTGTAATATTCAGTATTATGTGATAAAACAATACAAGTAGTCAAAATTTAAGACATAACATCCAGGCTCTGTAAAAAAATGCTGGAAAATATATAGCGGTCTATGGTAACAAGTCTTAGCATTTATGGAACCAAAAAGGAAAAAGTTTCACACGCATGCCTTATCAGGGGAAAGCTACATGTAAAATTGCATTCACCGTGAGTAATTAATACAGAATTTAATAGAGAAAAATGCTAAAGAATTTTTTTTATTAGTGCTAAGACAGTAGATATAACTATATCAGAGGCATCAAATACTGACAAGGTGGTGAATAAGACACGTGCAGCACCTGGCTATCTTTATTAACACTTTTTATCCAATAGAGGCTTTAGCAACTTAAGTTATACTAGTGACTGTGGTAGTAGTTTTAGTAGTTGTAGTGTTTGTAGTATTGTAGCAGTAGTATTTAGTGGTAGTATTATTAGTGGCAGTATTTAGTGGTAGTATTAGCAGTAGTACTGTAGTAGTATTTAGTGGTAGTATTGTAGTATTAGCGGTAATATTGTAATACAGCACAGTAGTAGTGTTATGACAGTATTCTAGTAGTATATGTAGTATATGTAGTATACGTAGTATACATAGTAGTAGAAGTATACATATTAGTAATAGTATACATAGTAGTAGTAGTATACATAGTAGTAGTAAACATAGTAGTAGTAGTAGTATACATAGTAGTAGTAGTATACATAGTAGTAGTAGTATACATAGTAGTAGTATACATAGTAGTAGTATACATAGTAGTAGTAGTATACATAGTAGTAGTAGTAGTAGTATACATAGTAGTATACATAGTAGTAGTAGTAGTAGTAGTAGTAGTAGTAGTAGTAGTAGTAGTAGTAGTAGTAGTAGTAGTAGTTGTAGTAGTAGTAGTAGTAGTAGTAGTAGTAGTAGTAGTAGTAGTAGTAGTAGTAGTAGTAGTAGTAGTAGTAGTAGTAGTAGTAGTAGTAGTAGTATACTACTACTACTACCACCACCTTTCTGGTTCCTCTATACTGCATAAAGTCTCACTTCTCACATCTCTGTATTAGACTGATAAAGCCCCTGATGAAAAAAATGTCTCTCAATAATAATTCCCAGCTGCTGCATGTATCTTATTTACCACATATGGCAGTGGATTTGAATGTTAATTCAGGAGAGAATATAAAGTTTCTCCTTAAATCATTAAAGAAATAAAGGAAATATTAATGAACATATGATAAAGTGGTTGACGTGCAAATGAGCAATTACAACAGCAATGTGCTGGTATCAGATACAGCACCAAAGATTCTATGCTTGTCTGCATTTTAACACAATATACTGAAGGCTGTATCTACAGCATTTACCATAATACTGAGTCTGTATACAAGATATATATTTGGGGTCAGGTTTTAATGGTTATATGTCTAAGATAAGTACTCTAATATAAATCAAATAGTATATATTATAAAAGTAAAAACCAAATACAGTGGAACCTCGGTTTTCATATGCCCTAGTCTAGTCTGTATCTAAAACTATAGTTATTCTCTATAAATTGTATTTTTTGTTAATATTTTTGGGTGTCTGGAATGGATTAATCAGATTTATATTATTTCTTAAGGGAAATATCAACAAAAAATACATTGTACAGAGAATATCTATAGTTTTACATACAGACTAGGGCATACAAAAACCGAGGTTCCACTGTACAAAATTATATAATAATAAACTTTATGTAAAAGAACACAAAACCTGGTCAGTATTTACTGCCAGGAGCAGCAGTTCTGTATAAGAGGAAGGTCTTAAAGCAGAATAAATGTTAAGAAAATTAAAAAAAAATTATGTGAAACATTTGTGAGAGGTTGCAAGTTTTAACATTTTACATGTCTGCATAGTCTTAAGCAATATACGGAAAACATTTCACAGATCAGCATTTTCTTAAGCACTATATGGAAAACATTTCACGTAATGGCATATCCTTAAGCACTACTACACATGGAAAAATGTACATATGTACAGAAGGCTTTGAACTTGCAATAATTTCTATGCCATTTAAAGAAGGAGATTTTAGCAAACTAAAAAAATACTCAGGAAAATTATGACAATGATCCTGATATCTGCACTAGATGTGACTTTAAGCAAATTGTGTTTGCACTGGTTAATACCTCTACTATTTACTGTATACAGAAAGCAATACTTAGGCTTTACAATTTAATCTGGATACAGTTTGAAAAATTCTACAACTATGAGGCTAATTCCATATCAATTTATTTTAATTATGGGAGTCACCCATTTTATATTAAAGATATATTAGTACATGCAGAATTTTTTTAAATTTTTTAATAGAAATATATTATTAATATAGCATACTTTAATTTTTTTTTTTTCAACAAGTCGGCCGTCTCCCACCGAGGCAGGGTGACCCAAAAAGAAAGAAAATCCCCAAAAAGAAAATACTTTCATCATCATTCAACACTTTCGCCTCACTCACACATAATCATTTTTTGCAGAGGTGCTCAGAACACAACAGTTTAGAAGCATATACGTATCAAGATACACAACATATCCCTCCAAACTGCTAATATCCCAAAACCCCTCCTTTAGAGTGCAGGCATTGTACTTCCCATTTCCAGGACTCAAGTCTGGCTATATAAAAATAACCGGTTTCCCTGAATCCCTTCACTAAATATTACCCTGCTCACACTCCAACAGATCGTCAGGTCCCAAATACCATTCGTCTCCATTCACTCCTATCGAACACGCTCATGCACGCCTGCTGGAAGTCCAAGCCCCTCGCCCACAAAACCTCCCTTACCCCTTCCTTCCAACCTTTTTGAGGACGACCCCTACCCCGCCTTCCTTCTCCTACAGATTTAAATGCTCTCCATGTCATTCTACTTTGATCCATTCTCTCTAAATGACCAAACCACCTCAACAACCCCTCTTCAGCCCTCTGACTAAAACTTTTATTAACTCCACACCTTCTCCTAATTTCCACACTCCGAATTTTCTGCATAATATTTACACCACACATTGCCCTTAGACAGGACATCTCCACTGCCTCCAACCGCCTCCTCGCTGCTGCATTCACAACCCAAGCTTCACACCCATATAAGAGTGTTGGTACTACTATACTTTCATACATTCCCTTCTTTGCCTCCATAGATAACGTTTTTTGACTCCACATATACCTCAACGCACCACTTACCTTTTTTCCTTCACCAATTCTATGATTAACCTCATCCTTCATAAATCCATCCGCCGACACGTCAACTCCCAAGTATCTGAAAACATTCACTTCTTCCATACTCCTCCTCCCCAATTTGATATCCAATTTTTCTTTATTTTATTATTATCACACTGGCCGATTCCCACCAAGGCAGGGTGGCCCGAAAAAGAAAAACTTTCACCATCATTCACTCCATCACTGTCTTGCCAGAAGGGTGCTTTACACTACAGTTTTTAAACTGCAACATTAACACCCCTCCTTCAGAGTGCAGGCACTGTACTTCCCATCTCCAGGACTCAAGTCCGGCCTGCCGGCTTCCCTGAATCCCTTCATAAATGTTACTTTGCTCACACTCCAACAGCACGTCAAGTATTAAAAACCATTTGTCTCCATTCACTCCTATCAAACACGCTCATGCATGCCTGCTGGAAGTCCAAGCCCCTCGCACACAAAACCTCCTTTACCCCCTCCCTCCAACCTTTCCTAGGCCGACCCCTACCCCGCCTTCCTTCCACTACAGACTGATACACTCTTGAAGTCATTCTGTTTCGCTCCATTCTCTCTACATGTCCGAACCACCTCAACAACCCTTCCTCAGCCCTCTGGACAACAGTTTTGGTAATCCCGCACCTCCTCCTAACTTCCAAACTATGAATTCTCTGCATTATATTCACACCACACATTGCCCTCAGACATGACATCTCCACTGCCTCCAGCCTTCTCCTCGCTGCAACATTCATCACCCACGCTTCACACCCATATAAGAGCGTTGGTAAAACTATACTCTCATACATTCCCCTCTTTGCCTCCAAGGACAAAGTTCTTTGTCCCCACAGACTCCTAAGTGCACCACTCACTCTTTTTCCCTCATCAATTCTATGATTCACCTCATCTTTCATAGACCCATCCGCTGACACGTCCACTCCCAAATATCTGAATACGTTCACCTCCTCCATACTCTCTCCCTCCAATCTGATATCCAATCTTTCATCACCTAATCTTTTTGTTATCCTCATAACCTTACTCTTTCCTGTATTCACCTTTAATTTTCTTCTTTTGCACACCCTACCAAATTCATCCACCAATCTCTGCAACTTCTCTTCAGAATCTCCCAAGAGCACAGTGTCATCAGCAAAGAGCAGCTGTGACAACTCCCACTTTGTGTGTGATTCTTTATCTTTTAACTCCACGCCTCTTGCCAAGACCCTCGCATTTACTTCTCTTACAACCCCATCTATAAATATATTAAACAACCACGGTGACATCACACATCCTTGTCTAAGGCCTACTTTTACTGGGAAAAAATTTCCCTCTTTCCTACATACTCTAACTTGAGCCTCACTATCCTCGTAAAAACTCTTCACTGCTTTCAGTAACCTACCTCCTACACCATACACTTGCAACATCTGCCACATTGCCCCCCTATTCACCCTGTCATATGCCTTTTCCAAATCCATAAATGCCACAAAGACCTCTTTAGCCTTATCTAAATACTGTTCACTTATATTTTTCACTGTAAACACCTGGTCCACACACCCCTACCTTTCCTAAAGCCTCCT